TTACAACAGTTGATGTTTCAGAAACAGATTTCGAAACACGACTTGAAGAAACGACAAGTGCTGAAGGCATTCCTTTACCTCAAGTTTACGCTAATCTTGCTCGCATAATTTCAGGACCCAATACCTGGTATCTCGACAGCTGCTGCGGATGGCAGATGTGTTCTGCAGAAACCAGCTTCATCACGAATCAGCGTCCGCTTCGTCGTCCCATACCTGTCACAGTCGCCAACGGACAAACGATAATGGCACGATCAGTTGGCAGTGTCATGCTCGAATCTATCGACACGGGATACTCACTTCATGTTACGAATGTTCTTATCGTCGCCGGTCTTGGCTTCAACCTTCTTTCCACAGCTCAACTCCTGGCGCACAAAATCCGCACACAAGGAAATTGTGAGACGATGGATCAAGAGCTCTGGCACAGTACAACTAATACCTACCTTGGTCGTGCCGCCACTCAACATGGCGTGTCGGTACTTCAGTTCGCAGCACAGGGAACTTCTGGCGATTCTGAACGCGTCCTTGCACTTGGTCCCAGGGATCACCCAGAAGAAACAGACTATCAACACGTGGACATTGACTTTCGCGCAACAACTATACCAACAGCTTCTCGAACTGCAGCAGCCGTACTTATCGCGTTGGATACCTGGGAGTTTAATACTGCCGATGAAAGCGCCAGTGCATGGCGAACGTTTTATAACACCCGTGCAGCTTTCCAAGGAACTCCAGCACCACTTTGGGGAGAGATAAGTGGTCTTGCAGCTGATGAACCTGACGTCGTTGAAGAAGCAGAACAGGACGCCGTAGCTGAGCAGCCGAGTCCAACAGTAGCTGTCGCCGAAACACCTGCCACGACATCAACAGAAGCACCATCAGCAGTTGCACCTTTAACCACACCAACAACTGTTACTTTACCTCTTACCCGTTTCATCGAAGGAGACACTGACAAGTCACCAGCTCTTTCTCCTTTTCTACTTTCTTCGTTTTATACTAACTCCGATTTTTACCTGCGATCATCAGGACACAAAACCACAGAAGATATATGGCATCAACGATTAGGGCATCCATCACAAGGGATTCTAAATCATTCAATCCGAGCAGCAGTTCTTGATAAAAATAGTTTACTTTTACCTGATGGCACGGAGATGAAGCCGCAGTCTCGTCCGACGGTTTGCACCATCTGTCCAGTTGCCAACCTTACGCACGATCCATTTCCAAGTCATTTTCCCGACTCAACCCGTTATAAACCGATGCAGAAAGTTTACAGCGACATACTCAACTTGTCTGAAGCAGGACCTAAAGACGAGAAGTATGTCATCACTTTCATCGAAGCGCCTACCCGCTATGTCTGGACAGCAAACTTACCTGCGCGCCATCTCGCTCACTCCGTCTTCGTCGCGTGGCTCGCTGTCGCTGAACGAGAGCCAGGAGTGAAACTGCAGAATTTCAGAGCGATGGTGCAGGGGAGTACACCAGCAACACCTTCACAGACTACCTTCAGACACTCGGCATCAAACGGAAGCAGTCGCTGCCACATGCACACCAACAGATGGGGGTAGCAGAAAGGATGAACAGGACTCTGCAGGAGAAGATGCGTGCTCTGCTGACACAGGCAGCCCTTCCACCGCAGTTTTGGCCGTATGAGATGGACCACGCCGTGCTGTTACACAATCTTCTTTCTTCAACGTCCCTGCCCGAGTTCTCTTCTCCACACCTGCAGTGGACACGTACAATGGGAAGCACAAAACTTTTACGAGTTTTCGGGTGTGTTGTACAGTTTCGTCCTCCAACTGCAGCTCTCGGCAAATTTTTCTGAACGCGCAAAATGGGGGGTACATCTTGGCATCGAAAAACAGTATCATGCGTGGAAGATTTTGGATCTCCGCTCAAACCAAATCATCTCATCACGTGATTGTCTTTTCTACGAAAGACTCACCTTGCCCGTTTTCGTGCCCACCAGGCAGCAGCTGCCAACCCCGCCAGACTGTTCGAAGGCTCGCGTGCGTTTGCCACTGACGAGGCTGAAGCTGATGTACAGGACGAAGTAGTTTCTGAAGCATCCGAAGCTGCCGCAACTGACATTCCCGAACCTGTAACCTCGACTGGCATACCTGAATTCATTCCTCTTGCAGATGCTGACCCGGATGACGTTCGCGAAGTCCAACTCAGTTATGAACATGATCGCCAACAACAGCCAATGCCTGTCGTCTCCGACGAAGCCGTACGTGTTACTCTTGACGAAATTGGGGGGGAAGAAGGACCAGAAGAAAATTTCGCAAGTGCCAACGAAGAACGTCCGCGTTTTAGATAAACAGGATTGCAGAAACTGGGATTTGCAGTAGCAGTACAGTGCAACGACAGTAAGATACCTGAACCGAAAACTGTCCGACAAGCTCTCACGAGTCCTCACCGAGAAAAATGGCGCGAAGCCATGGACAAGGAGCTAGCAGCACTCAAGAATCGTGGTACACGGGATTTAATCCCGACTTCAGAGGTCAAAGGGAAGAAGGTACTTACCGGAAAATGGGTCTTCCGCGTCAAGACTAATGCAGATGGGTCGTTTGAAAAGTTCAAAGCACGATGGGTCGTCCGCGGATTCGAGCAGACTTACGGCATCGACTATGAACTAACCTTTGCTCCTGTCGGCCGACATACAAGCGTTCGGATTCTGCTTTGTGTCGCCGCTTGCCGTAATCTACGTCTTCGCCAAATCGACGTCTCGAATGCGTTTCTCTACGCGCCTGTCGACGCACTCATCCTGGTAGAGTACCCACATTCTTATACTACTAACCCACCGAGCGTTTGCCGTCTACGGAAGTCCCTGTATGGCATTAAACAGGCACCACGGCTCTGGCAGCAGTATCTTCACTCACAGCTGATCACTGCCGGTTTTCGTCAACTACCGCATGATCAAGGAATGTATCTACTGACCGACGGCAGCAACTACATTTTACTCGTTGCCTACGTCGACGACATCCTATACGTCAGTACTACAGATTCTCTTGCCGAGACCTTCATACTGAAATCACAGAAAAATCTACAGCTTACCGTCTCCGAAACAGTCTCACAGTTTCTTGGACTGAACATTACCTGTTCACCGACAACTATTCATCTCACCGCTTCAAAGTATGCAGCAACTCTCGCTGCCCGCTTCAACCTCACGCCTACTACAGTCTCTACACCGTACCGCTCACTACCGACTGACCACAAACCGAACACCGCACTGTTAACTTCAACTGGTTTACAGATCTATCAACAGCAGCTAGGCTGTCTACTCTTCGCCGCTGTCACTTGTCGTCTTGATCTAGCCTACGCGGCCAGTCAGCTCGCTCAGTTCCTACGCCGTCCTGAGGAGGAGCATCAGCTTGATCTACTTCGTGCGCTTCAGTATTTTATCTCGACACCTGACGTCGGATTAGTCTACAACGTCATCGGCTGTAAAACACTCTATCTACATGGTTTTGTCGACGCCGATCACGCTGCTGATTCTACTAATCGACGGTCGCGCACTGGGTTCATCTATCGACTGGAACCTATCGGACCTATCTCTTGGAATTCTACGAAGCAGGAGCTAATTGCACTCTCCTTTGTTGAAGCTGAGTTTATTGCTGTCTGCACAGCAACACGTGAAGGACTTTACTTACAGGAACTATTGGAAGAAGCGAAGTTAACGACAACTACCCAGTTTACCCTACAGTGCGACAATCAAAGTGCAATTCGCATCGCACATCAAACTGGTTTCGTCAACAGGATGAAGCATATTTCGCTTCGTTATTTTTTCGTCAAAGATGAAGTCGAGAAGGGGAGGATGCGATTGGTCTACTGTTCGACCAACGAAATGGCTGCCGATTTTCTCACGAAGAAGCTGACACGACAGAAGTTTCAGTACTGTAACAAGCTCTGCGGAATCTTCAAGAAGTGACACTATCGACGTTCCAGAAATGAAGGGGAGTGTTGTGATATAATTGGTACTTAGCATTTCTGTAAGTCGATTAAGTGTAGTTAGTGTCGAATCTTACTATAGAACATAAGTCCGTAGGATGATGTCAGCAAATAGCGCTCGTCATAGGACAGTCGTTTCAGTCACGCGAACAGTCGCACCTCTTCATTATCATCTAGGGCGCATAGCGCGATAGTGACGAACAGGTACATTAGCGAATATGTACTTTTCGTAGAACTATAAATCTCTGTCAGGTCTTTTCATTATTAACTTTGATTACTCACAAGTTCACGTACTCAGGTTATTCAACCTTGACTAATACATTTTACAAGACTTCCGCTGTCTTACTAGTCTACCATTCCAGCAAAGATCCTGGACCAACACTTGAGGATTTGCCAAGTGTTCGTGCTTATAGTTTTATACTTAGTCTACTACAACACCAGACGATTTACTTCACGAGTCACGACGCAGCTGAACTGTCGGATGGTTGATTTTCTCGTCCGCTAGCGCGATCGCACGTCAGAAGATGACAGATGGGTGCCGCTCGCTGAGTTAGAATCACACCTGATTCTAATAGCGTGTTATCAGCGTCGGAATGTTTCCGATGCCCGTGGTCTCGTTTAGGAGGGGGGGGGTAGTGTAAGGAATTTCCATTCCTTACTGAGTTGTACGCTAACGCGTACACCCGAATTCCCCGATTCGTCACGTTCGGCCTCAATTATCGGCCCAACCCTTTCCCGAGTCGCGTCCGGCACTGTCGCCACATTGCAGAACCTACCCACGTTCCGAGGTTATCGCCCTAGCACGACAACCCCTATATAACATCGTGCCTTCATTGCAGTAGCGACCTTGTATTCTCACGTTATAGTACATTGACACTTCCTATTTAATAACAGAAACAGTGACGTGTAACACTCGCAACCGAAGTTTAACCTTGTGTCAGCAGGGCGACCAGGTGTGCTTACAACGACCAACTTCATGGCTGCCTGGCTGGTCCCATCCCGTGCGACAATTCCACCCACCCCATCACGCACCTCCACTCCGGCAGACATTCCCCGCAGGCACCGCGCTGGATTTCTTTTCTTCCAGTCTTGTCAAGAACCGCAAACAGACCGCGCAGACTGCCGATCGCCGTTGAATACCTGTTTGAGCTTACTATCGCCATTAAAGGTGCTTTAGGTATAATGGACTTGTAGAGACTGGTGTTACTGGGTATGTCAAGCAAACTTCATGGATCGTCCATAGCTCGTGCCTGCCCAATTGCGAACAGCGTTGCACGCTGATAAAGCGGAAAATGATTCTACCCTTCTCCAAGTGGCGACTTTCACTCTCGAACGTATGTGTTAACCCGTGACTAATCATAAACGATACTTTGACCTACTCAGCAACAATCTAGCCGAGACCCCGCCGTAATTATCTCGAGCAGCGTTCGAACCACGTTAATTACGACAAGCGTAACGTCGCAGCCGGTGGGGACTGGTGGGTAGCTAGCTGTACTAGTGCGAGACAGTCATAGAGAGTTGGCGGGAGTCAGACGGAGTCGGAGCCGGAGGGAGTCGTAACGAAGTCGCAGAAAGTCGTAGAGAATCGTAAAGGAATCGTACCTGAGAATCGGAGAGGAATCGGAGAGAATCGGGGGCCGTCGGATGCGCGAAGATGCAGCGCGTGCATTCGAATCAGGCGCTGCCGCCCGGCGCAGATGACATCGAGCTCAAGGACGATCCGCTTATCGCCGCCGTTGCCGCTGCCGCGGCTTCCGCGGCGGCGGGAGGCGTGTGCACGCCGCCGCGCAGCCGCTCCTATACCAACGTGACAATATCGGGCGAAATTGAGACAGGTGAGTTGCGTTCTTCTAAAGAAAATGCGAAATCCCGCGCTCGTCCGTCATCGGGTCACCTTCTTGTGGACCATTTCGGCACCAGTGGTGAGGCAATCCTGGAGGCTGGAGGCAATCTTTATGGCAACCGTCTGTCGGTTTGTGGTGAAAGGCTGGAGAAACGCGCGAACTAAAAGATACGCAAGGCGTGGACTGATCCCTGGCGAACAGCCAGAAGAATAAACTCCCTAAACCCAGGAGAATCAAGAGCACGCGGTCTTAGATTAACTCGCCAAGCTGGAGGCGCTTTGGCCTCCCTAACGCGTCGTCAGCCCTGGGGAATGTCCTCCCATTGACGTTTGGGTTGAAAAGGCAAAGCTAAGCTCGTGAACAGACCGTTTCCTCTCAATAAAATACCTGCCCTTGACTCTTTTTTCGGACCAATAAGTCCAAAACTGTTCAGGAGGGACGGAATGCTTTTTATGGCTCCTCCCTCCCTTCATCCGTCATCACCCCAACTCCATACCCTCTTCCTTACCCACCGTGGAAGCCCCTTATTCCCCTCGCACTCTATCTGTCTTCCGCCAACTTTCTCATCCTCCAAGACATCCCCCCCACCTCTCAACTATTATGTCCATCGTTCCTCTCCCCTCCAATCCCCTCCCCTCCCCCTCTCCCACCTCCCCCCCCTCCTCCCCCCCCCCACCCCCCGGGTCTCTTCGTCCCGAACCGAAACCCCTCTGGCCGTCCCCTGGCAGTCCGTAAGTTCAGGAGGAGGCGGTCTGAGTGCTCCTGCCCGCTGCACCAGATAGCCATCTCCGTTACAGTCTTCTCCTTTATGGCCTGGGTGAGTTGAACGTTCCAACTTTCAGGAATGTTTTCCCTTTCCTAACCAACAGCGTACTGGCCCCCCATGCCTCATACCCTCTTTTCCATGCTGCATACACCATGCCCCACCCATTGCCCCCATTGCCCCATTGCCCCATGCCCCATGCCCCATGCCCCATGCCCCATGCCCCATACCCCATGCCCCATAACCCATGCCCAATACCCCATGCCCCATGCCCCATGCCCCATTCCCCATTTCCCATGCCCCATACCCCACGCCCCATACCCCATGCCCCATGCCCCATACCCCATGCCCCGTACCCCATGCCCAATGCCCCATATCCCATGCCACATGCCCAATGCCCCATCCCCTATACCCCATGCCCCATGCCCCATATCCCATGCCTCATGCCCCATGCCCCATGCCCTCTTCTCCATGCTGTATACACCATGCCCTACCTGTTGTCCCATGCCTCATACCCCATGCCACATACCCCATCCCCCATACTGCATGCGCCATAATTCGTGCCCCAATCTCTATACCCCGTGGCCCATGCCCATGCCCCTTTTTCGTGCCCCACCCGTTGCCCCATGCCCCGTACCCCATGCACTCTTCTCCGTGCCCATGCCTGTGCCCACGCCTGTGCCCACGCCTGTGCCCATGCCTGTGCCCGTGCCTGTGCCCATGCCTGTGCCCATGCCTGTGCCCGTGCCTGTGCCCATGCCTGTGCCGGTGCCCGTGCCCATGCCTGTGCCCGTTCCTGTGCCCATGCCTGTGCCTGTGCCTGTGTTCACGCCTGTGCCTGTACCTGTGCCCATGCCTGTACGCCCATCTCCATGCAGGTGACATACCTCTTTCTGACCAAGGACGAGTGACACAGCATCTAGGTGCTCTTAGCATGACGCATTGAAACTCACAATAGCCGCTATCTATTATTACGACCATAACTACGTACAAGTGAACTGATCAATCACAAGTGCTTTCTCTAGGTTGGCATGAGTGGTACCGGTACCGGAGTTGCCCACCTGCTGTGGTGTGGTGTGGGGGCAGAGGTTGGATGGACACCATGTGCACGGCACATTCCTGTTGCCTGCTCCTGCACAGGCATACAGTACATGTAATATGCTAACTGCGTGTGCAACGCTCCATCTGAGAGTTCTTATTTTGTAAGTTGAACATGGCAGTGTGAAGCCACAGCATGTCAGCTGGCCCAGGGGTGAGGCACAATGAATATAGGGAAACGTCTTGTAGTGATTATACACTGTACACAAGGACCTTCACTGGGTTATGTATATTTTCCCCCCTGAAGCAGCACCCCCCCTCCTCACCCCACCTTCCCCTTCCCCTTCACCGGCATACCACCAACACTCTGGAACAGCCAAACCGCCACCTCCTCCCCAACCGCTGCTGCCAGCGCTCCCTTGACAAACCGCGAGGGCGCGCGGCCCAGCAGCATGACGCGTTGCGCCCAGTCCATAACCTGGGTGGCAAACAGGCGGTACAGCAGCCACGCGCTGTACCAGAAGGGCACGATGACGTGGCGCTGACGCAGCTCCGCGGCGCGCACGATGATGCGCGCGGCCTCGGGGGTGGAGAGCATGGGCCACCACCAGGGGATGTGAGCCTGCCATGTGGGGGGAAGGGGGAGGACCAGGGGGGCAGGAAAGGGGGAAAGGTGGACCAGTTTTTTCAGTCGGCTCAAAGAAAGCATGGGCCACCACCAGGGGATGTGCGCCTGCCATGGTAGCATGGGGGCGGGGACGGGAGAAAGGGGACCAATATTTCTTGACGGCCTCGGGGGTGGGACGCATGGCAACGCCAGGGGATGTCCATCTGCCATCGAGGGTTGGGGAAAGGGGGACGAGGGGGACGAGGGGGACCAGGGGGACCAGGGGGACCAGGGGACCAGGGGGACCAGGGGACCAGGGGGGCCAGGGGGACCAGGGGGACCAGGGGGACCAGGGGGAGGGGGAAGGGCAGGGGAGGTTGGGATGGGAGGGGGAGGGCAGGAGTAGGGGGGTGGAATTTGTCAACTTCAGGAAGCCACCACTACAGGGTGTGAGTCTTTGGGAGGATAAGTTGGGGAATTGAGGAGGATTGGCAGCTTGAGACAAAGGGAGGCTTAGATCACCACCAGGGAAAGAGGGTCTGCCACGCAACGGGAACCAAGGGGGGGGTGGGGGTGGGAACGGGGGAGAGGGGTGAGGGAACGGTTGGGCTGGGAAGAGGAAAGGGGTTACGTAGATGAATGAACCACCAAGAGGTGGGTGTTCTGCAGGAAAGGATGGGGAATTGAAGGGGTTGAGTTGAGACAGGCATACTCATGGGAGATATGGAGGAAGGTGTGTGTGAGTCACACAACGCCACACGCATCCCCCACCGCGGGGTCAGTGAGTGTGGTGAAATCTGCCTTGGAAGAGAGAGCCATGTCACACCACATCACACCACACCACACCACACCACACCCCACACCCCACACCCCACCCCACCCCAACCCAGAGCACACTCCACTCTCCCTACAGCAGCATCAGTGCGTGTGGTGAGCTCGGCCTTGACGAACCCTGGCATGGCAACGGTGATGGCCATCTCCTCATCACACACCACAGTACACCCCACACCACACCGCACCACACCACAGCATCCCACACCCCACCCCCCCTCACAGAGGCGTCGGCGCGTGTGGTGAGCTCGGACTTGACGAAGCCCGGCATGGCCACAGTGATTGCCACCTCCTCAGGGTGCACCTCCGCCCGCAATGTGTCGTAGAACTGCACTATCGCTGCCTTGGCCGCCTAGGGGGCGGGGAGAGGAGGGAGCGAGGGGATAAGAGGAGACACGGGAGACGGTGTGAGTCATAGGGGTGGATGCGAGGGACGGTGATTGCCATCTCCTCAGGGTGCACCTCCGACTGCAATGACGTGTTGAACTGCACTATGGCCGCCTTCGCTGCCTGGGGGGGGGGCAGAGGGAGGGAGGGAGGGAGGGAGGGACGGACGGACGGACGGAGGGACAGACAGACGGGCCGAAGAGGAAACAGGTCAGGAGGGAAAGTGTATGAGGATGAGGCATGTGCCACTAAAGTGTTCCGAACTGCTTACGTACTCCGCGTCCGCTCTATCTATGGCGGTCACACCATGTACGCACCAATCTCACACGCACAACAGCAACAGCAACAGCAACAGCAACAGCAACACCACATCAGTAATCCCTTGGCTGCCAGTAACTACCATAGCCCCCACACATCCCGTAAAGGTCCAGTCAACAATCCCCAAGAGAGCGCCATACATTGTACATGGCCTGGCGCGGGTATGTGAGGTAGGCAGCCACGGACGCAGTGACGACCACCTGGCCGTGGCTCCTGCGCAGGTACGGCATGGCGAACACCGTGGGCCACACGTTGCCCCAGAAGTCAATGTCCTGCCAGCAATTCGGGAGGACAGGAATTGAGAGGGAAGAGAAGGAAAGGTTGAGAGGAGAGGAGGACGACTGGGAAAGAGGAAGGGCAAGCTTGTTGAGGCGGGTCATGGCATGCGCCCCGCAAGTCAATGTGCTGCGCTGCGGGACACGGTAAAGACGGAAGAGAGGGCATTGCAGGGGAAATAGTGTGGGCGGGTCATGGCATGGCGAAGACCGTGGGCCACACGCACTGTCACAACAGTCGACGTGGTGCACTGGCGTGAGGAAGCCAGAGGAGACGTGGTCTGAAGGGGAGTCGAGCATTAGGAGAGGAGGTAGGGAGAGACGGGGTGGAGAGAAAGGGAGTGAAAGAGAGGAGGTGGTTGGCTGAGAGGAGTTGGGGGCCGTCTTTGCAAAAGGTGGAACAAGGGATTGGAGCTTCAGAGAAAGCAACTGAGGAGGCGACAAATCAGTTGACGCCCAGCCATGCATGCTTGTAAGCTGTGCCCATGGATGTTAACCTACCCACCCTCGGATCCCCCCCGGCTACCATGCTGCTTCTGAGGCTGCTGTGGTCGTCTGCGTCCTCAAAGAGCCCCGGGTGCGCCGTGCCCGCATTGCACACCAGCACGTTGACTGGGGGGGAGGGGGGGAAGAGTGGGAAGATGAAGGGAACTTGGAGGGAAAAGCGGGAGCGGGAGGAAGGGCGAGGGGGAGAGCAGAGGGGGAGAGCAGAGGGGGAGAGCAGAGGGGGAGAGCAGAGGGGGAGAGCAGAGGGGGAGAGCAGAGGGGGAGAGCAGAGGGGGAGAGCAGAGGGGATGATTCATAGGTAGGTAGAACACGAAGACAGGGAGAAGCGAGGGGAGATGGGGACATGGTTCACACGACGCACAGGTATGACATCCCCCTTCTGCCCATAGATACCTAGTACCTAGTGCTGTTTTATCACCCCCCATTTCCGACATCCCTCCCAGCTGTTTCCTGCTGTTTCCTGCTGTTTCCTGCTGTTTCCTGCTGTTTCCTGCTGTTTCCTGCTGTTTCCTGCTGTTTCCTGCTGTTTCCTGCTGTTTCCTGCTGTTTTTTCCGCAATAGTGAACAACCCCCCGTTTCACTCACTCCGCCCGTAGTGCTCCACAGCGGCATTGATCACCGCGTGGCACCCTTCCTCCGTGGACACGTCAGCGCGCTGCACCGCCACGTCAGGCGCGCCCAGCCGCAGGCACTCGTCAGCAACGGCGCGCAGGCGCTGCTCCCTGCGCGCCGCCAGCACCAGCGCCGCGCCCTTGCGCGCATACTCAAGCGCCATGTACTGGCGAAGAGACGGGGCAGGAGGAAAGGGGGTGGAGGGGATGGGTGGAAGGAAAGGCAAGTGAAAGGGTGGAGGGATGTTGTGCGAGAGATGAGCTGGATGGGGTGACGTGGAGTGACCCGCAACCGTGCTATCTCTCACTCCACCACTCTCCATCTCTCTACGACTCTCTCCATCCCTCTCTCATCCCTCACCCATCCCTCACCCATCCCTCTCCATCCCTCTCCATCCCTCTCCATCCTTCTCCCACCTCTCTCCACCCATCATCTCGTCGATGCCTGACGGGGCACCAGTGATGACGAACATGCCATCTCTCTCCCACCTCTCTCCACCTCGCTCCATCTCCCGTTTCTCACCTCGCCGATGCCCGACGACGCGCCTGTGATGACGACCACCTTGTCGCGCGACGAGTAGCGCCACGAGAGCGGCGTGGGCGCGCGCAGCAGCAGCCAGCGCGCGGAGAGCGCGGCCCAGTGGTACACGTTGAGCACGATGGCGAGCGGGATGAGCAGCAGCAGCCCGAGCGGCGGGATGAGGAACGAGAGACCCACGTTGACGAGCGTGGGCACGGAGAGGAGCGTGGCCATGATGACGTGGCAGAGAGAGGGCGTGCGGTACTAATACGGCACTACCGGAGTGTTACTAGTAATGATCGTAGAAGCAGCGGTTACGGGGATGATACGCGTTTAGCGACGATGTGCTTTTTGAGAATTCGAAAAAATCACCATCTAGCGCGATGATGTGCGGCGCTGCTGCCACTGCTAGTATCGGTGATGCTGCCCAGGGGGCTCACAACTGACGATAGTAGTAGTAGCCTTAGAACGACTACTCCACAAGAGGTTCTCTCCGATCAGGCGATTAAAATATCGTCCGATGGCGAACCCGTGGCACAAACTCTTCTAGGACCTGCGAACAGCCGTGGTACCGGCTGCGACTAGTACTACTCGCACTGCTAACCAGCTGCGCACGAGCTTTGTAGCGTGGCCGCTGCTGGGGAAGAGAGCACGTTCAGCGCTGCGGAGAGCACCCGTGGCGAAGCTTCGGCAGTCTCTCGACGCTACCCCGCGCAAGGCGACAGTACGAACGATTTCTCGCTCCTCATCGATCCACTGTACGGTAGTAAGTTCGACTCCCACTATGGCGTCCATGATACCTCGTTGCTCTACCACTGCCGCTGTACCCTCGGAAATCGAAATTGATTATCGAATCCCCATCGAGTCGCGCCTCGAAACTCCAAATTCTCTTCTTGGTGCTCTCTTGCCATACCTGCGTGGTGTGGACCAATCACCTGCCAGTTGTGATGAGCACACGTGGAAGCTAAGTGAAAGTCGAGGAGTGCGACCTCAGCATTGACGCGCTACAAGTTACTCACTAGAGTGCGCCGAATATCGAAGGGCTAACTGCAGAAATGCTCCCTAACCCAATCACACTAATGTTTATCTACAACCTAAGCGCCACTACAGCACCTCTAGAAGCACATTATAGAGCATCCTGGTCCAGAGATCTATGGGGCCAGGTAGGCAATAATGCAGGCAGTCCACCTTGTAACGCCGGTTCTTCCCTAAATGCCCATCTGGTCTCAGGGAAGTCATGGCATCCACATCTAGATACACTGCACCTGCTGCCTCCACAATTTCACGAGCCATTTCATTCTGCCTTTTGAAATCCCCCCAATTGTACGGCAGCTCCTCCGGTGATTGTCGCCTGGGAATGGGCTCCCAGTATTGCGTGCAGTTGACATGTCCTGGTGGGGTGTTGCGGTAAATAATTAGGGCGTTAGGGAAATGCGTGCGCAACGCAAGCATCGTCTCACGAAGCTCTGGGATGAACACATCATCCTCCGCATAGTGTGCCCCGCGATTCATCACAAAGATGTCATACTTCTTGTACAGTGCAGCCGGTGAAGACAACACCGGCTTAAGAGCAGCAGCGGATTTTGCCTCATCCTCACCGCCCTGGCCAGACGCAATGACCACTCCAACGTGCACTTTCCCCTTTCTCCCCCTCTTCTCCCTCATCTGCCGTCTGTTCCTTTTCTTGCTTTTGTTCACCACTCCCTCCATCTCACTCTCCGGCCTCATCACATCGCAGCGGTTACCAGTCATGTAACCCAGGAACGGCAGCTCCACTGCAAAGGTGTCCAGATTCCACCTGGGATGACCCACCACTGTGAGAAAATCATTCCTTATGAAGTCAGCGACAAATAGACCGGCTCCTCCTGCCTTCCCTCCAGCTCTTGCCTCCCCAGGCTGCTGCTCCTGCTCCTCCCCCTCTTCCTGTGCAGCTGAGCAGAAGGCTGCTCCTTCGCACACCTGCCACTCGCCCAGAGTTGGGTTCTCCTGCAGGACTCCCCCACAGCACAGCTGGTTGTACGGTCGCTGCTCTGCTGCCGTGCTTTCCCCCACCCTGCTGCCGCTGCTGCTGCTGCTGCTGCTGCTGTTAGCGTTGGTGTTGCTGTTGCTTCCCAACAGATTGCGCTGAACCATGCGCATGTGATTGAAGAACGACGTATGCATCTGTCCCGTTAACGAGTCGCCTATAAACGCAATGTTCTTCCCTCCGCCGCCCACCACCTCACACATCCTCCCACTCTCAAACTCCCTCAATCCTCCTCCACACCGCCCCTCATCCACCCTCCAGTCATACATCAGCGATCCCCGAACCACCCACCGACCCTGCGCATCCGGACTAAGCGCCACAGCATCGGCATCCGGACCTGCAAGGTGGGTTTTGCGGTGCCTAGTAAAAACCACATCACACCCTCCGAACGTGTAATTCGGGAGCGCCCAGGGGAGGGGCCGAGGCGTCTCGTCCATCTCCCACCGTCCCGATTCGCTGATGCACCGCCACCGCGCACGAAAGGCGTCCACATGGCGTTTTGTGATAAGCCGAGAGCCGGGAATGCGGTCCGTGATGTTGAGGAGGGGAGGCAGAGCGGTGGGCGCTGTTGACAGAGGCACAGCGGTAGGTAGACTCGCTCCAGTATCTCTCTCGGCCTCCTCGTCTTCCTTGCGCTGCAGTGCCCCCTCTGCTCCTCCTTCCGCTGTCTCTGCTTTCCCTCCCGCTGCCTCCGCTGCTGCTGCTGTCCCATCGCCCTCTGCGGTCGCGTTTTCTCCGCTGTCGCTGGCTCTTACGGTCTCCAGGGTGTCACTCTCGATATTAGAACCCTCGCTATTGTCTCGCTTGCTGCCGACCACCACTATGGTCTGGCCTGGCGGAGCTAAAGGGGAGCGACGGAGCGCGGAAGAGGAGCGCAAGGGGAATGTGGCGGAGTGGCGGAGGGGGGAAGAACGGCAAGCGGAGGGCATGGGGAAGGAGAAGGGGAAGGAGAGGGGGAAGGGGAAGGGGAAGGGGAAGGGGAAGGGGAAGGGGAAGGGGAAGGGGAAGGGGAAGGGGAACGATTAGGGAAGGAGCGGGCACTGGAGAGAGGGAGTGGACTCAGAGTGACGATAACGAGGGGGCAAGAAACGAGTGCGTTCTTTCACGAAGACGAATCGCTCAGTGCATACTAATTTGGCGAACGGGTAAGCAAAGCGAACTGTGTACAAGCAAGGAAACAGAGATTAACGCTGAAGAACGGAGCGAATGAGAGACACGCACGCATCGACGCGACGCACCTGTTCCCACCACCATAGTCTGAACTTCCGACCGCCCACCGTTGTCACCCAGGAAACCCTCCGCAGAGCGCGCCGTGAAAGCCGGCGACGCGGCGTCGCGATGGGAAGCAGAGGCGGAGCGAGGAGGCCAAGAGAGAATGAACCTAGGGCTGACGGGAACGACGGAGAAGACGGTGGATAAATAGATAACCGGCGCGAGGAGCAGCAAGGCCGACGCGACGAGGAAGAGCGGGGAGTAGATTGTCGTGCGGATCTTGGCGTACGGGCTTCCCTGCACCGCCATTCCCGCCGGACTTCCCGCCGGGATTCCTGCCGTCATTGCCGCGGCCTTTTCGAGGGTGTCATATGGAAGGTCCGAGGAAACGTCCTGCACGGGCATTACGGCGAAGTTTCTTTGACCCTCCTTGCGCCGCGTCTAGGACACGCGGCCTGTTCCGTTTCTCTAATGCGGGTGGTGGTCGACGAAATCTATGTGCCACCGTCGAGCTTATATTACGATGGCGACCGCTGATGTCTAAGGTTTCCCGAAAAGCGGGAAGTCGACGTTGACGGCGCGACGCACGCTGTAGATTCGCCTTGCTAACTTGTACTGCCAGCAATCACGGAACTCCAGGAGTGACCCTTCGTTACCCTCGGTTGCTGCACAACGCATTTACGCATGTACAAGTACAGGTTTATGCTTCATGGTTGCCGTGCCTGATGCGGCTGCTGCGAAAATGTCGTGTCCAGGCAAGGGTGGAGTGGAGGCGGGAGGGGATGGAGGGGCTGGCAGCTGGGAGGAGGGAGGGGCGGAATGGAGGGAACTACAAGACAGCCAGAAGGCCAGAAAGCCGAAGCTGAAAAGGGCCGTAACCAGTCATCTTGTCGTTCACTTGTCGCAGCCTGGTTTTGCCTTGGTCACCGTTTCAGGTGACCACTTTTGAGAGCCCCATTGGTGGAATTCTTCACCATGTGTAATTCGTACACTCTCTCTCACATCGCCTGAGTTACAACCTGGAGTGCGAACTGCAAGCTATTGAAATTCAGAGTGTGACCTTGATTGTGAACTTCGCGAGTGTGTACGGGACCTAGCCATATTCCAAGCGCCCAGGGCGCGCTCATGTGTCAGACGTGGTGCAGCGCAGGCTCCCGAAATAAGCGCGAGGCGCCCAGAAAGCACCCCTTCAAGCTGTTATCGAGATTCTGAATAAGGCAAATTCATTAACGCATTTATATATGATAAGCAGCATGTGAACAACTGAATTAATGGCATTCCTATCAACCATATAACCACGTAGAGCCTTTTATTGTTATCAACCACTTGACTCTCTTCGAACCAGATAAAACAGACATTTTGTTTAGGAACCTGTCATGCGTGCCTATTGTGGTGTTTACTCGAGGCCATCACCCCATCTCCTGCGCGACGTGAGAGCTTCATGCGTTTATATTGGGGCTGTCTGCAGCCTGTGCCGTCTGGGGCTCACCACCACAATCTGACATTGCTCCAGCAACGGATGATCACGGTTATCAAGAATGGTGTATTACAAACCAAACAACCAATTGCCCTCATGGCACAACACACTCCGTACCCCTCCGTTGTGCAGTGGGCAAAACAATACTTGTTAGAAGCATGAAATCTCCAGTTAGCTCTAGAAAGTATAAGCAGCGCCAGCCAAAAGCTGGCGTCGTCTGGTTCAGGGGCCTAACATATACTAGGTATGAGCTACTGCAATGACTAACACAAGGATGGCTAGGTCTCATGGGGGACTTGTGGGCAGTGGCTCACTATAGGGGGGGAGGAAGCGGAGTTACAATCACCTGCATAAGACAAGTATGCACAGTAAGCATCAGGAAGATACAGTAAGCCGATGTGGGGGCGGGAAGGAAAGCAACAGCAGAATGGATTAGCACAGTGGAGGAGGGGTCAAGAGCAGCAAAGCATGGAAAGGGAGGGAGGGAGGATGCTGGTGGTGAGAAACGTGTTAGGGGCCGAGAGCATCTTCATGTTCCGGTTCTCACCCGTTGGCCGCTCATGCAGTGACTAAAGAAGCCCGAGATGAAGTAGGTGGTGCTTGTAACGGGGTCGCTCTCACACCCGTTCCCCGTGCCGTCCGTGCCGTTGCAGTATGAAATAAAGCTCCGGTACTCGCAGTTGTTGTAGTCCGTAAGCGTGGGGACCACGTACACGTCATCCGCATACTTGCCGTATTTGAACACTGCGCGAAAAGGGCAGAAGAGCATGAACAGTGAAAAGTCACACATCTGTCAGCTGATTTTCCCCTGCGTGACTTTTCATCGAGCATGCGTCCTTGCGGTATTTGAACAGTGCGAGCTGATTTTCTGGTTTCTCTCCCCTTGATTTCATGTGGATGATGCGGCTTCAAAGGATGCAGCTTGGAAGTCAGCTTGAGAAGGCACGGGTGTGCTATTGGAACGGAAGTGTGTGTGCGTGTGAGAGAGTGCGTGAGAGTGTGCGAGAAAGTGCAAGAGAGTGTGCGAGAGTGTGTGTGTGAGAGAGAGAGAGAGTGAGAGAGAGAGTGTGTGAATGTGTGTGTGAGAGAGTGTGAGAGAGTGTGAGAGCGCGAGAGCGAACGGTGGAACCGAGCGTGTCGCCCTGGTAAACAGGGTTCTTCTTGCTCCAGTCTTGCTCCAGTGAGACTCGTGACGGCTTTCACTGGCACCAATAGCAAGAGTCCGTGCGTGAGCTAGAGAGCGAGAGAGCGAGAGCGAGCGAGTGACCGTACCGAGCGTGTCGCCCTTGTAGACGGGGTTCTTCTTGCTCCAGTCCGCCAGGTCCACCTCGGGGTTCCACGGCCACAGGAACGACGGCGTCGGCGCGCCCACCGTCACCGCGCGCGCCGTGAATCGGCTCAGAATCGGCTGCAGCACAAACTGGCAGCGGAAAAAAGGGCGGGTGGGGGAGGGTTGCGGGTGGGGGGGAGGTGGTGTTGGGGAGAGGGGTCAAGAGGGGGGATTGTGAGATGGGAAGTTAGGATGGAGACGAGAGGGCTGGTGCAGGGGATGGGGAGATGCTGACGGTGATTACTGGCTGGGACGGGGGTGCAAAAGGGAGAAGGGAGGTGGGGAGGGGACCACCACACCACTCTCCACCACTCCCCACCGCCGCCTCTCACCTTGTGGCCGTTGTAGCAGTGCCCGTGGAGCCCCATGACCTACCACCCCACCACGTGTCCTTAGACATGTTCCAGAGATCAAACGACACGCACTCCACCCCCTCTCCACCACCCTCCACCGCCTCCCACCTTCTGGCCGTTGTAGCAGTGGCCGTATAGCCCCGAGCCGTAGAACGCCGTGGCGTTGCCGACCTTGATGGTGCATCCGGCGCTGCCGGCGCCCCACACGTCGTAGCACACGACGGTCGCGGCGGAGTAGTTGCACGCGCGGTAGTCCGCGAACGACGGGAAGCGCACCACCTCCTCCGCGTACATGGGGTACTTGAAAGCTGGGGGAGGGGGAGGGGGGAGGTGGGAGGCAGGGGGAGAGGAGTGGGGGAAGACACTCGAGGATTTGAGTGCGCAGTGTGGGCTGAAAAAAGACCATTGGAAGGGGGGTCACGGGGAAAGCAGGCGCAGCAAGCATTGGACCAGATATCTACCCGGTCGCACATACTACGTCACAAAAATGTGGATCTCTCCTATATTGTAGGTATAGTTGTTCGTATAGCAAGGCTACTCCGTAGCAGACGTACCTATGCCGTACCTACTGTATACCTACTCCGTATTTCTGATCCTGGTATTTTCGTACTAGTTGTACGCCGGCCGCTCGTTCGCTTCACACTGACCATACCCCCCCCGCCGCTTCACCATTCCCAGCATTAGCACCAGCAGAGCCACTCACTGAGCGGTGAATCAGGCCCGCAATTGGCGAATCGGCAACTTCTAGACTCATGAGTTCACGCCGTTACCCTCACCCAGCGCGTCGCCACCACATGCCTTCGCCACTCACCACACGCCTTCGCCTCACCACATCCTTTCGCCACTCACCCCTTCGCCACTCACCTAGCACGTCGCCCGAGTAGATCTTTGTGCCAGCGGCCCACGCGCTCCACGACACGGCCGGATTCCACGGGTACGAGTACACGCCCTTCGCGTATCCAACGGTCACGATCACGCTGGGGCTCGTCACGGTCAGCGCCGGCGGAACGCCGTCCCCGCTGCTTCCCCCGGTGGCGAGGGCCGCGGGGGAGCCGGTGGGGAACGCGGGGACGGGCGCGGGGGCCTCGTCGAGCACTCGGCGGAGCGAGCGCGCCTGGCGTGGGGGACGGCCCTGAATGGTGACCTGGGGAGGCGGGGAGGGAGGGCAGGGGGAAAGGGAAGGAGAAGGGGAAGGAGGAAGAAAAGGTGAAGGCAGAAGCGGGAGTGGGTGATGAAGGGTAGAAGGTGGGAAACGCAGCGAGGACGCTAGCAGTTATTGGTGGCTGCTGCCTGTCAATCGCGCAAGCGGAGAGCGTGTGGGGGCACCCCCCTTCCGCCCCAGGTGGCAGTTGCGCTCACCTTCCGGCCCAGGCGGCAGTTGCGCTCACCTTTTGCCCCAGGCGGCAGTTGCGCGGAGTGGACGCGAAATATTGCGGAGTCTCCCCCACCGCCACCGTGCACTGCCGGTCGCCACCCTGCGCGCCCGAGCACACCAGCGCCGCGCCTGCGTAGGTGCACGCAGAAAACGCCTCCAGCGAGGGGAAGGAGAAAACGGCGTCTTCTGGGGGAAACTCAAACACTGGCGGAAGGGGGAGCGGGGAAAGGGTGGTTGGGGGAGGGGGGAGAGGGGGGGGGAGAGGGGGGAAAGGGTTGACGGATTTGCGGGAGAGTGGGGGAGTAGGGAGCGGTGACGTGGCCTAAGGCAGCTTAGAGAAGGAGGTTACTTTCCTGGTCATTTGAGTTTCCCAAGGTTTCCTTTGTAGGATAAGACGATATTCGCCAATCATCGTGCGGATACGACCGTCTCGCGTCCATCGCTCAATGTCGGATCGGGAAACATGGTGCTCTGGAAGCGTTTCAAATACAATAATATGCGCGATTACCGCGTGTGTTCCGCATACTCTAGCCACCAGACACCGCATTATGACGTGCAGTAACACCACTCTAGATATCTTCGGCCCTTCAACTTCCTTGCGAATTAAGATCCTCTTATTTTCCCATTCACTCTTCGTGCGAGTAACCTCACCTGTTGCGTCTCAGCGCGTACTCACCAACAGAGTCCCCGATAACGAGCACAGTGCGCTTCTCCCACTGCGGGTAATCCACGGCGCTGTTCCACGGGTGATGGAACCCGCCTGTATCGCGTACGCCCACCACGATGAGTCGCCCTTGCGCCACGCGTGCTTGGTGCGCCAGAGCTAAGACGAGGAGGAGGAGGAGGAGGGGAAGGATGCGGAGGCGCATGATAGTCCAACTGCGCGGCATGATTGCGAAGCAATTCGAATATGTCTAATAGCGACGCGTCGGAAGAACGGGCAAAATAGAAAAGCCTCGATGCTTGCGAACGCACTGGGTTCAATAATCTTGGGATATCGGAAACGCAGTGAGGTTGCCTCGCTGCGGATGCAGGTAGCGGTGAGAGATAGTAGTTACCGGAAGGTTATGGATTACGAGATGGTCCTTCTCGTTATAATCAGGCTTGCGACGTTAAAGGCAAGAGATTTGCCTGGCGATCGTTTCTACGCTAACCCCAATGCAGGTGTGGAAAGTTAAAGTTGTTAGCTACAACAGCTTCACGTGCTTCCTTGGAGAGCCATCAAGGTTGAGGTTGATGTGAGAGGGAAGGCAACGGCCTGGAATCGCAAAGCGAGACCGGCAACTAGCAGGCACACGTGAGATAGTAGGGCCCTCCTGGGTGATGGTTGGGAGGGACACGCGAAATTCAAGCATCCAGTGGAAATAGCCGCCGTCTTGGCGCGTTGGGGTATGATTTGGCGCTTCTGACAGGAACCCAGTCGAGGGGTCGCGAAAGGGGTGGCGGCAGTGGCTGGACGGGGGGCAGGATGAACCGAGGGATTCACGGGCGGAGCGGGATGGATTGGTTTGGGAGAGACGAGCATGATGTGGCAGGCATTTTGAGGGGATGAAAGGGGATATGAGAGGGCTGAAGAGAGATTAGATGCGGTGGATGGAGCTTCCAACAGAACAGAAGCCCCCTCTCGGGTTACAATTTTGATGCGCGTCGCGGCATGCTTTCTGCTCTGGTGCTCGTCCCTCGCTCCTCGCTGTTCTTGGTCTGTGATGTGAGGGTGACGAAATTCACATTTCGCGCGCTCTGTCATGATTCTGGTTCTGGCTGCGCGCCCTCTGCAAAACCCTCGCTCCCCTGCCAAACCATGCGGAGAAAATGCCGCCTGATATTGTTTTCGGTTGAGCTGCGATTGACTGATGGCTTCCACTTGCTGCTTGACAAGTCGGAGCAAGCCAATCACACACCTGACTAATCTCCAGCCCAGACCTCCACCCAAGGTCTCGCTAGGAGCAGAAATCTGGCTGAATGTAAGGAAATGGTATTTCCTTACAAGTCACATTGGACATACTGTAACGAAATGGTATTTCATTATCATGGGTTTTAGTTAGTAACCCGTACACTGCTATAATGCGATTGCCGTGCAGCTCTGCCACGAAATTCAAATCAAGGTAACCAAATAAGGCCTCCTGACGAGCCACATGCATTTTGCCCGCCTTGCTGTTTCATGCATAGATATGGACGCATCGTACCAATTACGTGTCAACCAGGGTCTCTCAGATGTACCACACGAAATCGGCCTGATGGTCTGAAAATCAGACCTGCTTTTTTCCATTCATCTGTTTTTTTTACGGGCTAAATTAATTTGTCTGATCGTCCAGATAAGCCATAAGATTTCGTCTGAAAGTTCATACCAGGTGTAGACTTTCGTCTGAGAATTCAGATAGTGCGTATTTTTTCGTCTCAGAGTGAGACATTCCTCTTCGCCCCCCCATCCCTCCCCTCCCCCCTCCCCCACCACAACCGAGATTTTTTCGGCTGTCCTCGATTGCCAGATACATTCCCCCCACACCCATAGAGTATCTAGTTTTCCTCCACACGAGATATTCCTCCACACACCCCTCGTAACAACAAAATTTCGGTTAAGTCTCCCACACCAGAGTCATTCATCAACACACTACACGCATGTTAAAGTAGCACTAGGCTAGGAGGAAGTGAAAGAAGACAGCCATGGTTGTGGCGGTGGGGTTTAGCTAGGAGAGTAGGAAAATGTCGAGAGGAAAGAGGGTTGGATTAGGAAGAGAGAGGAGTACAAGGAGGGGTTTGTACCCTCTACAGAAAAGGTTCAGTAACAACCTACCAAGCCTATATAAATTATAACTTATATAATTTTAACACACCCCCTAGGCTTGGTAGTCACACACCCACCCAACACACCACACACCCCCTAACCTAGCACCCCCATTCCAGCCACAGGGACAGCGACACTAGGTCGGTCGACCCCACGGTGCGTGAGGCGGCGACGTCGACCGCAGGGGCTGCGGCGGCGACGGCGGCAGCGGCGGCAGTGTCGACAGCGGCGGCGGCGGCGGCGTGCGGCTGCGTGGCCCCGACGCAAGCGGCGACAGCGGCGGCGGCGGCGGCTTCGACAACAGCGGCGGCGGCGGCGGCACCCGCACCTCTCGGTGACGTGGCCAGGCCCCGCGACGGTGGGACGGCCGGCGGGAGTCAGCCGTCGGCTGCGGCAAGATACAGGACACAGGGGAAGGGGGGTGGGGCGTGGTCCAGCCTCACGCTTGAGGCTGGCGTGCGGGCAGCAGGTGTGGCGGCACCATGAACGTCGCGCGGCAAGCTGCCGTCCGACGACGCTGCCACGGCACCGTTACGACGCCGACACATCGCGGGACGATGCAGCGGTGGGACGTCGCCGCTGCGACGGTAAGCACGGCGCCGTCACAGCAGTGTGGCGTCGACGCCACGCGTCACGACGCGACGGCACGGCAGGAACGGGCATGGCCGCCATGGCGGCACGGCAGGAAGGCAGTGAACGAGAACGCATCGGAAGCACGGAGGGGAGCAGGCCCAGGCAGGACGTCCTGCTCTCGATACCATGTTAAAGTAGCACTAGGCTAGGAGGAAGTGAAAGAAGACAGCCATGGTTGTGGCGTTGGGGTTTAGCTAGGAGAGTAGGAAAATGTCGAGAGGAAAGAGGGTTGGATTAGGAAGAGAGAGGAGTACAAGGAGGGGTTTGTACCCTCTACAGAAAAGGTTCAGTAACAACCTACCAAGCCTATATAAATTATAACTTATATAATTTTAACAACGCAACCCTAAAAATTCGGCTAAGTCCCGAACTGCGAGATACATTCCCCCACACACCCCTCGAAGCCCGGTTTTTCAGGCAAAGTCCCTGCTACCCTGCTTTGACACTGTTTTTTCTGCTTCGTCGCTTGACTGGACTGGGGGCGGTGCGGAAGGAACCCTGAAATTGCTGGGCAAAGAGAGGGGGCTGCCTGCATGTGACACATCACGCTACCTGCGAGTGTTCCTGCCAGAATCCAAGCCTCAACCAATTAAGGCGTGTGTCTTACAGTTCCGGAACTCGGCAAGTTCCGGAACTTGGGCGGGTTACAGAGTTCGCAGCACATTTCGACGGCTTCGCGAGCACCTCCCCAGGCAAAAACTTCGCCAGTTCCGGAACTAGTTCCGGAAATTCCAGAAGCAGAACCGTAAGACACACGCCTTTAGAGCGTTCTCCTACGGCCTCTTCACAGGCTTGCATGCTCCCAGACTCACACGCTACATTGCCGTGCAATGACTCTTGCGCTCTTCTGCGTGGTTTAGACTGACGAGGTTCAGGGCGTGTTAAAACTTATTCGCAGGCGCACATTTTCCAGAGAGGCGCAGATCTCTACAGTTCGATTATGACCCGAGCAGAATCAAAGCGGTTGAGAATGTGATACTGAAACGGAGTGAGCTTGACAATAAAACCTTCGAGCGCGCTCTCAGGCGAGGACCGAGTATGGGAATTGGGTAGCCGGGGAAGAAGTTCGTAAGAAAATGCTCTTAGCAGGAAACGAACAAATCGAGGTCGAAATTACAAGTGACGAAGATTCTTGCGCAAAAATTTCGTATGAAATCTCAGACTCATTGAAAAATTTCGTCTGATGGTCAGGCAAACTTTGAAACCCCGTCTGATTCTCAGACAGCCCTAAATCATGGTTGAAACCCTGGTGTCAACGTATACATATATGCTATATGTAAATTTATATGCTAGACGTGTGCATGCTCTAAGAGAGTACAACACAAATCGTATATACACTGGCGGAAAGTATTGTCCGCATGTTTGTCACTTAGACGAATTTTGGGAGGCTCCCACAGGTCCAGCATACCAGTGGGAGGCCTCTCGTGTTTGGCTAGCCACACATTGCGATGAGCCCATAGATGCTCTATTGGGTCGAGGTCGGGTGAGGATGATGGCCACTCCACCACCCCAAACTCCTGCTCTCGAGGCCATTCATGCACGATACGCGACTTGTGCTTGGGATCGTTGTCGTCCTGGAAGATAACTTCCGAGGGTGCAAGTTGGTAAAACTCGATCGTACAATTGAGCTCTTCCTGCAGTATACTCAGAAACAGCAAACCGTCCTTTCTACCATATGTTTTGCTCATGAAACCCGCTCCCTTATACGACATGCAGTCGCAAATCATCAAGCAATCGCCCCCGTGCTTGACGGTCTGCTTGATTTGGTGTCTTTGGAGGGCAGTCCCTTCGTGAACGCAGGCGTATGAGAGTCCGTGTGATGTAAAACGAATGATCTTGGTCTCATCCGACCAGATCACTCACTTCCAGTCGTCAACCGTCCAGTCCGCGTGGGCACGGGCCCATTCTAGCCTATCGCGTATGTTTTCCCGAGAGTGTCGCGGCTTCGTGGGATGCTTGATTGCGACAAGTTCGCTGCCATTCAAAGCGTTACACACTGTCTTAGGATGCAACGTGATGCCGTGCTGCTTCTCGACGATCATCGCTACATGAGCGGAGATTTTTGCCTCCTCGCTGGTAATCGACCGAACTATGTCGGGCCGGACTCTCTCTGTCACTAAGCGAGGGCGACCGGCTGAGGGCATCGTAGGACGCACGTCATCGCGGCAAGAATCTACAATCACCTTGATGGACCAAACTCTTCCCTATGCCTAGCTGTATCGTGATTCGACTAGTGCTATACCCCCTCCACAACAAGGTAATGATCCGTGCGTAGAGCGCCTCATCTAACGGTTTCATGATGGCCTAATCATAGCAGCGGTCCTAGCCTATCACCTGACTACTCCAAAGTCGCGAGGGCAAGAAAGTAGAATGAGGGAGGGTAGGATATAGATCTAGTACGCCGCTTGGCATTAACTGTCCGGATGCACCTATGCGAACCAAATCTCGTCCCCTTTAAAAAATAGACCCCTATAAATCTGAAACCCATATTCGTTACACACAATTTAGAACTACTTTACAGCCGAGGCCGAAATATGAATCGTAACTATACAAAAATGGCACCAAAAAAGTACGTAAACATTTGTCAGGCAATTATCCGGGCAATACTTTCCGCCAGTGTAGCATGTGTATGCCCTGCTAGACTTACTTCGCTACTTTGAGATGGTATCAGACTAGGTAGCTCCCGCCCACCCACGCCTTTGCCTTAGCCTACCCTAGTGCCCTTGCCCTTAGCGCGTCGCTGAGCGACACATCGGCTTGGTCATGGAGGTGGCTCGTACCTTCATCATCCATGCCGGTGCACCACATTTTCTATGGCCATTCGCAGTTTGCTACACCGCCCACCA